AATCCATACAATGACAGTACAAATTGAATAAAACAAGACATTAATAAAAGCGAATACTTTATTTTTTTATGATTATTATCACATCAACAGCCTTTACTAGTCCACTGCTGGACATAGGCCTCTCCTTAGAAAGGATGTTTTGCCCTACTATACCACGCTGCCCCGTCTGGGCAGTATAGGGTTGGTATAGGGTTTGTGTCAAGTTTTCCTTCTACCGCAGTGCTGTTGTTTTGCGTAGTTTTTTATAATTATTATGTTATCTATATATGAATGATGTGTATATTTGTAAATAGAGTAGCACGTGTACTTAGTTTAAAACAATTATGTGTATGAATGTTTTGTGTTTATTCTGTAAATATGCCTTAATAAATAAATAAATACCTGTTTAAATGCTGCCATGAACTTTTACCAGAGATAATCGGCTTATAATGGACACATTAAGTTTAAACATTCAAAAGTAGACGATCATTTCATCATTTACGATAAATATCCGACATGATATGAGAATTGAAACAGTCAAGCTTGTAGTTATTAATTACAATTTATGCTTCCACAACTTTTTTTCTTTTTTTATGTTAGAGGGGGCAGACGAGCAGACTGGTCACCTGATGGAAAGTGACCATCGCCGCCCATGAACGTCTGCAACTCAGGAGTCACAAACGCGTTGCCGGCCTTTTAGGAAGGAGTACGCTCTTTTCTTGAAGGTCGTATCGGTTCCGGAACGCAGATGATAACCCGTTCCATTGGTTTTGCGGGGCAAAAATTATCTCACACTTTTTTTGCCCCAACTATAACTATAACTAACAAGTGGAGCGCCAACTATCCAGGTAATAAGGATGAAAATATTAACGTGTGGAACGATGGCGGAAATTTGCGTCTGGTCCGAACAATTCCTATATCCTATAGATATGAGAATTTTAATTATTAATCTCAGAACAGCAACTTACATTGACAAGTAATTAAATGAAAACGATAAGACGCATTGAAAATGCTAAATGGCCTTGTATAGCCAATATAAAATTCTCTTTTTGTAATCGAAATACTGCATTTACATTCTTGAATAGAGTACGCAACTATAACTGTGAGTAATCCTGCGAATACGGAAGAAAATTTGTAAGAAAACAACGGCTGCATTTCTGGCTATATACGAGTATTTTCAAGATTCCCCAGGGCCTTAATTATGCTAGTCTAATATTGTATCAATAGACTGCTGATTGAATGTCGTCGGAATAGTTTTGCAATTTTCTTATTCTACTAACTATATAAGACCAATGACCCGATGACTTGACAGTGATACAAATGGCGTCGATGTCTTTGTAATAGTTTGGTACACGGTACACTGTAATTTGTAAGAAAATGATATATTTAATTTTCATGATATGGCAATGTTGTTGATATCGCCATTGATGACCTATATTACTACTATTACTTATTATCGACAGTCTATTGACACTGTGCATGTATGTTAGTAGAATACCGATATTTTGACCGATATCAGTGGCATCTCAATGGCATCTCAGCAGTGTGTCAATGGAGTGTCAGTGGCTTGGCATTAACATAAAATGGTGGAATTGAAGCCCAGGCGCCCAGTCTAGTATATAATTATGACCACGTTTCATCTATATTTACGAATATTAATATGCTAACCCCCTCCCCCCTCAAATCTCTGATCAAATCTTTGATTACTCATATCATATCATATCATATCAACAGCCTTTAATAGTCCACTGCTGGACATAGGCCTCTCCTTAGAAAGGAGGTTTTGGCCTACTATACCACGCTGGCCAGACGGGTTGGTATAGGGATTGTATCAAGTTTTCCTTCTTTTTGCAGTGCTGGTGTCCTGCGTTGTTTTGCGCCCTTAGTCGCCTCTTACGACACCCACGGGATGAATTGATTACTCACGTGTGTTAATAACCAGATATGAAAGTGCTTACGACAAGCGGTCTCACCGATAACCCCGTTTAACAATCAGAAATTAAAGTTTACAGATGAAAAAAAAAACAAGAAAAAATCATTATTCTGGACTGAGGTCGAGCTCACATCGTGGCGTGATTCGTGAGGTCTACTTCAACGTGAGGCCGGGCGAAGTCCATAACAGCAAACGGGATAATCGATGTTTGTTTCTCCAGCCCGACGACAACTTGTCTAGTAACTTGTTCATGTAGTATCGTACTGGGCCTTATCGGACCGCGCACAGCTATTAAGACCTCGTTATAAATATTGACGAATTAGACACGAAGATTACTGGCTGCATAATCTTTTAAAAAAAAAATTATCTTTTAAGGAACTCTATGAAGATTCAAATTGGATTGAACGAATAATTTTTTGATGAGCACGGTCATTTGTTCTGTCTGGATGTAATTTATTTATAATATGTGTAAATTTAGAAATATATTAGTATGTTTATCAGCAGTCTAGTTACTATAGTACAGGCAATGGGAATCAAGACAGGCATGAGTGAGAATTGCGAACTTTTTTTCTTATTATTGGTGGCCAATCGTATTTATTTTTAATATTTTTTAACAAATAGTTTTTTATGTACAATAATCACTATTAAAAATGTGTAAATGATAATTTGGTAATGAAAACAAATATTACCTTGTTGTGGTTTTCGATTAAATATCGACAATGATATCGAGTAATGATCGATAATTAAAAAGTAATAATAAATAATAATAGCACTAATAACATTCATAAAATTATATCATAAACTAGCATTCGCATACTTTTTTCGGGATGAAAAGGTAACCTGTCTTTTTGCGTACAACTGTGTTCAAACGTGTGTACAAAATTTAATAATGAAACTTGTATCATTAAGACGGAGGGAAGGTGGGAACTCTCCCATGTGACCTGATAATCTGTCTAATCTCGACACAATTAATGTATCTGCTACCTTTAGTATGTAAATAATTTGTTAAGAGAAATGAAGAGTACATTATATAAACAGTACCTACATTATATTTATAACAGATTATATTTATAAGAATTCTGTTTCGAAGAAAAAGGTTTGGTGAACGGAGAACCATGAGATTTGAAATACTTTGAAGTTTGAACTAAATTATCTACTAATATTAGAAAGCCAAATTTTGTTGTTCGTTTGTTTGGTTGAAGCGCTAAATTAATCTCAGGAAATTGAAAAATTCTTTTAGTGTTGAATAACCCATTTACCGAGGAAGGTTAAAGGATATATAACATCACGCAACGACCAGTAGGAGCCGAGGTTTAATGATTTTTGCGAAAATATGGAAAATTTATTTCTCTTCAGAGGGTCACAGACGATGTCAGCCAATAGTGAAGAAAGCTTAAATGTTTAAATATGAGTAACCCATTTTAAAAGTGACGCGAAATTGTTAACACTAAGCGTTCATTAACACCTATTAGGTAAGTACCTTTTTTTTTTGTGCGGAAATCCCCTCGGATACCACCTATCGGTGGCATGTCGGACTCGAACCGACTAAAACCGCACGCCGTCTCGGGTACTAATAGCCGGGGAACCAGGTATACCCTAGAAAGGAAGTCCCTGGTGCCCCGACATACCTCGGGTCATCTACAGACGAGTAGACGACCCCCCCCTCCCCCCGTGTGGGAACCCCATATTCCCTCTGCTCTCTGGATTAGGTAAGTACCTGGGGGTTTGGACTTTGGATTGATGATCGTCTTCCCTGGAAGGAACGCATAAGAGTAACCTCTTCCAGAATGAGATCAGAGGTAGTGTATTTCGTATGCATATTGCTTAAATCTCAGCTAGATCATTTAGCTATTGCCGGAACCAATGTCAATGACTCCCGTATGTGGGCGTTAGTAACTGCGCCACAGTTTTAAACTGCAGTCACTGTTAAACTTATTGTTAATATTCGTTTGGTATCTGTTCCAAAATAAACTTTTTTCATTGGTTTTATTTATTTTGTATTTACGAGTACTACTTCTGGGTGAAATAGTTTATAAATTACTTAGAAACAAACAACCATTTCATGTTTAAATTATATTTTAACGCTCCTACGTTAACGTTACTACGTTTTATGGGGTACTTTTTATGGGGTAATAATTGATAAATCCAACATATTAGGGTTGTAAGTAGTTGTGTAGTTTCAAAAGTAAAGGTATTTCAACAAATAAAATTGTTTTTACTTTTTCATGTTTAATGTAAACTTTGAAAGTAATTTTTATTAAAAAGGAAAACTTTATCAATTTCATCTAGTAAAAATAACTACTCAGAATCTTCTTTGCATCGTGATACAAAGCAATCTTTTGTTTTATTTTAATGAGAAAATAGTTAAATACAATTCATTCAAAAAGTAAAATATACTTATTAACAGATTACGCACACAAATGCATATTTAATGACCAATGTTTCAAATTAAGAAATGTTTTTTTATCTAATGGCTTCAGTTTAGATTACCACAGATTAAGTATGGCATAGCAGCGCTGGCGTCGTTTAACGGGTATTCGTTTATTAAACTTACCTTTCAAATATATTACTTTGTCAGAATTTGTTGACAGTTTTTAAAACTTAAAAAATATTTTTCTTGAATGCGTTTTTAATTTGTTATAGAAATACGAGGTTTAAACCTTTGCCTTTCTCGATACTGGAATTTCATAAACAATACGTATATTTTTAATAAAACTTAGGGTAAATTTACATTTTATGTTGTCTTGTTGTTGGGTATCTACCCCAAATACTAAACACATAAATTTCAACAGACACGAAATAGTTACGCACTTTTATTTTTATCTTGACATATATGTTATCTATAATCATTTTTATTACTAAAATTTTTATATGATATCAACTCATGTGTAATATTTATAATCATATTGTGAAACTAACATTTGCCTAATATCAAAACATTATATTAAATGCATAAAGTCTAATCAAGCGAAGTCAAGATCATTCAAACAAAGAGGCTGGAACTTTTAGTTCAAAATTACAAGAAAATAGATTTTCGTAGACTGTCATTTAGTTCCTTTTTACTTTGCCTTAATAGTCAATACTGTACCTGTGATATCAGGATGACGTGCCATGAAGTCTGCCTTAGCTCTAATCACGTCGAGTCGTATCTGATTCTCCACCGGCGCTTCTAAAGCCGAGAACACCAGAGCACCGGACGCCAGGTATACAATATAGAAAATCACATAGAAGACAAGTAGGAACGTGAATCTCGCCTTCCCAAATAATCTAGTAGTCGTAAATAAAGGCTGGAATGGGGGATGCTCTTCTTCATACAATATTTCTCTTTCGATCACCATTTTCTTGGGATAAGGCCACAACTGGCTGTGTACAGTCATATCATCGTCACTTTTGGCCGAACACATACTTCCGTAAGACTGTATACGCGCATACTTTGGCTTTTCCATTTTAAAAATTATGCAATGTCAAATTTCAAATTTAGAAAAAAAGTAGCGATTTAAAAAAATGTGCAATCTATTTAAAGTCCATAGTCCCAAAAAATCTTGATGAAAAACCACAAATTATGATCTTATTTTCTAATCGGCTTGAAAATTATTCCACAGCTCCAGAACACAAACCTTAATTCCCGGAACGCGCGGGATTTTGGTCAACTGTACTTGAAAAACCTTTTAGGATGATCAGGTTCAAAGAAAAGGCCGAATATTTCCGTCACTTTAGTATCTCGGCGACAATTTTCCAGTTTATAAATTACCATTTTGATGCATTTTAAACACACTGGCTGGGAACTAATACAGCGGAAGCCTCACTTATGCTTTAACCGAGTACGCGCGGCGATGATCGATCACGAACGATAACTGAGCCAACGCGTCGACGCACACACGATAATTTAGATTCATTGGCCTGTTTCTTGTTTGTAAAATGTAAAGTACCCAAGATAATGATATTGATACTATAGTGAGAGGTTACCTACTCGAGTTATTTAATAAGCTTGTTCGATGTTACGATATATAAATTATAGGTCGTAGAGATAATATAAGTATTATTGAATAATGGTGCTGTTGTCATATTGATATGAAAGGTAGATTCAAAATATTTGTTTTGAGTATTTTTTCAGGTAAAAGTTGATTAACAAAACAAGATCATCTAAAGCAGATGTAAGTATAAGTGTGTTTGTTATAATTTGCAATTTGTACTGAGCCGTTTCGGCCGTTTTATTCCTACCGGTTTTTTAATTTTTTTTGTACATAGGCGGACTTAATGCCTAAGGCATTCTCTGTCAGTCAACCTTTAGGTAGTGTAGAAATCTTGAGTGGTAGGCGCATATAGGTTATAACACTCATCACTAAGATATACAGTACACAACACAACACACGTAATTTCATACACACTATACACATATTTATACACATACATACACACACATATACATATATATATAAATACACATACTTTACATTTTTATTTTAAATAAAACGTGTTTTTGCAATCTGAGAGGCCTATGTCCAGCTGTGGACTGCAATAGCCGGATGATGACGTGTTGCTGCATTCATTAGACATCAAGCATTTGAAATAACTTTAATCCTTCTCAAGTTCTAATTTCATTTCATTTTTTTTTTGCGTTATTTGCTGTCCTGTTCTAATATTAAAGGATATAGGAAAATTACAATAATAGTTTTTTTTGTGTATAGTTTATAACTGAAAAAAATTGCCCTTTGCTACATATTATTGTCATTATAATGTGTTATGTTTCAGCTTCATTTTGATAATCGGAATTAAATTCTTTTTTTTTTTTTTTAAACGTATCAACCCGTGAACGTCAGGTGATTCGCCGCGTGGTCAACGAGTAAACATTGACTAGTTTGACAGGAATAGTCAATAGGAATTAAGGGAGAGGGAGCCGTGTGGCGCCAACGCATCTTCCTCGCGCGTGAACCACTCGCGGAAAGGCCAGAGCAACGTCAGGAAAGCGTGCGAGTAACAGTTGGTCTTCGAGTGGTCCAGTCGTGGTGAGGCGCTTCGAACTTTATGTAGTGAGCGTATATCACATACAAAGAATACGACCCGCACGAGGCCAGGCGTTGCTGGTTGGTTTTCCGTTCTCTCTAATGAGCTATGACCTTTAATTCCCACGTATACACATAATTATACCTTATAAGATCATTGTAATATCACTGTGTGTTTATAAACAGTACGTATCTTGTAAAATATGGCTCCATTCCACCTCTGTACTATGCACCTTGTAGTCACACGGCCATTCGCCACTGTCACAGACAGTTCATGCACCTAAACATACTTACAACAATAAATGTATCGACATGTACATTGATATATCGTACACTACTACTTGTATATCTGATATTTACTCGACGTAATATCATTATAATTGGTATACTATATAAACTATAAATTCAAATAAAACGTTTCTACATATCATCTAAACAAATAAATAAAATTGGAGTGTCTGTTTGTACTTAATATTAAAATAACCGCTTTTTACTAAATGCATATGTATGTTTACACGGTACATATGCCAAAATAACATTTTTTACAATTTTTGTCTGTCTGTCTGTTTGTTCCGGGTAATCTCTGGAACGGCTGGACCGATTTCGACTGGACTTTCACTGGCAGATAGCTGACGACATAAGGAGTAACTTAGGCTACTTTTTTTAGACTAGCTTCGCCCCGCGGCGTTGCCCGCGGTTATAATAACAAACGCGGGTAACACCGCGGGTCTCAGCTAGTTACTTAATATAATAAATATTAACCAGTTGCGTACCGCGGTGTTATCTGTATTTCAATTCTTTGCTTATCCGTCGGGAACACTACATTTCGGGGTAAAAATGTGTCAATCCAGGGTGTCTACCTAAATATTGGTGCAGTCGTTTGAGCGTGAAGAACTCAAAGCGTAACAAACATACAAACACACACACACACTCACAAACTTTTCGCCTTTATAATATTAGTGTGATTGTCATCTAAACTTTGTTTATACCTATCTATCTAGTAAACATCGTATTACATGGATGCTGATTCAGATACTGTTTAAGTCCGATCTCTAAAATCACATTATGTGTGAGTATTTGAGTAAGCATGTATAGTCATCATCATCATCAGCCTATCGCAGTCCACTGCTGGACATAGGCCTCTCCCATTGCACGACACATAGATCGATTTTGGGCTTCTCGCATCCAGCTCCTGCCAGCCATCTTGCGCAAATCGTAATAATTACTAAACTGTCACTGTGTGTGTGTTTAGGGTTACCTGCGCTAAATTATTTACCGGTGTTCTGTCTACGCGATGAGATGAATAGTTAGTAAAAAAATATTCAAAGTTAACTGTTTCTATGAATTCTTTCAAATCATATTTATAAATGCCCGGGGACTTTCTTCCTAAGGTATACCGGTGTCCCATGCAATAGACGCACAGGTAACGGAACACAGCAAAGTTTTAATCGATTCCATTCCACACCATCGTGTGGTGGTGGTGAGGTCACGATAAAGTAGTTTTTTACTTATTATTTTTATCGCATGAGTAACAAAAGAATAAAACTAAAACAAGAAAAATAGAGGAGTAGATTGATGCTTAAATCTATCAGAAACCAAAAAAGACCGTTCAATTTCAAATCAGTATATTTATTATTGCAACTAAATAAGTAAATAGCGATTGATTTGCCAAAACCTCCTTTCTAAGAAGAGACCTATGTCCAGCAGTGGACTAGTAAATGCTGTTGATGATTGATTTCAATAAAAAATATTTTCATATACTTAAATGTATAAGTGCAGCGACTGCATGGATAGTGTAGTGGTTTAAGCAGTCGCCACGCCGCTTCCTACTACGCCGAGTGTTGTGGCTTCAAACCCCACATGGGACGACACTTTGTGTGATCCACAAATTGTTGTTCAGAGCCTGGGTGTTTTTTGTGTCCGCTTCATGTATGTTTGTAAAGTCTCCCGCGACACAGGAGATATTCCTAATGCGAGAGTTGTCTTTTAAAAAAAATATCATTAATAGTTAAAATACTTCAAGTCGACACGATAATCGTCAGCCAATTACCATTTGTGAAATAAACTCGCACATGGGCCTTTGATTTTTAGTGGAAGTGTGTTCCAAAGAGTTACAGCCTTTTTATCAATCCTTTCTATGTATATACTTATTTATTTCCCAACTGAATTCCTAAAGTAGGTTTGCCTCTCCATTACCTAAGTGGTACTAAAATTGGAATCGTCAAAATGTCGGCGATTAATACGCCTCTATACTCGTATAATAGATGCGAATAGTTTCGTTTCCATTAATGGAGTTTCGAAAACTAATTAAAATTCGAAAATTGATTTGTCGATATGGTTATAACACAACAAGCTATACTGGAAAGTGGTTTTTAATTAAAATAGTGTCTATATTTAGAAATTTACTATTAACATAACAATAATAATTATATTTAACTACCATTTAACTAAAGCAAGTAAGCTTCAAAGCCAGTAGCCATATTGTAAAAATCTAATACAAAAAAGTCTATGATTGTAAAATTTTCAGACAACAAAATATTTGATGTTACCAATTTAATCATCCACTTTGTACGATTTTTACATTAGATAGAGGTTAGCAATCCGTGTGTTGACGGATTAAGAATACAGAGTTTCATCACCCCTATTCATCTCGTGGGTATCGTTAGAGCCCACTCAGAGAGCACACTACGCAGGACAACAGCACTGCAAAGAGAAGGAAAATTTGACACAAACCCTATACAAACCCGTCTGGTCACGGTGGTATAGTAAGCCAAAACCTCCTTTCTAAGGGGAGGCCTAAGTCCAGCTGTGGACTATTAAAGACTGTTGATGATGATGACATGATGATGGTATTAAACAAAGCATAATCAGTAGTTTAATACAAGTTTTTAAATACATATCTAGATATACATAAGTGTATATGTTTAAGCTTAGCTGTTCGTATTATCGGGGTATCACAAAACTTGAACTGATGACACGTAAAACCGTGTCGCTACCTTCTACTGCCAGTGATAACATGTAAGATGATAAATTATCTATCTATCTATCTATGTCCATGTGTAACTTGTCTAACTGCGCAATACCTATTAACAAATAGATTAGTTCTGGTTATAGATAATGAGAAGATACCTTTTGACGTGCCAGAGAGCCTCATACGAGGCCAAGTCATTAAAAGCTATAGTATTTTTGATGGTCTATGTTCAAAGTATATTTGGTAATACTATCCGTGTCGCTGACGGATTAAGAACACGGAGTCTCACCACCCCTATACATTCCGTGGGTGTCATTAGAGCTGACGAAGGGAGCAAACTACACAGGACGACATTACTGCAAAGAGAAGGAAAATTCGACACAAACCCTTTACTAACCCGTCTGGTCAGGGTGGTATAGTAAGCCAAAACCTCCTTTCTAATGAAACACCTACGCCCAGCAGTTGACTATTAAAGGCGTTGATATTTGCTAAGACACAAGGCGAGCAAGGGTACTTTTCTGCACTGCAGAAGATCCAGACAGTTTTGGGCCTATCGCGTATTTTGGCGATTACATGAAAGGGTAGGGCTTCAGGGCTCCCTGTAGAAGCAAGAATAAGAAAGCAATTTAAACTACCGGGAATCTCTGTAGACCGTGTCCGCGTCTAAAGAAGGGTATAAGACCCTGATCTGTTTGAATCATTACTTATATTTCCTAATCCGTCTTTATAACCAATATGGTCTGCAGATTAAGAATACGGAGTGTCACCACCCTTATTCATTCCGTGAGTGTCGTAAGTGCCGACTAAGGGGGCAAATTCTGCAGGACAACAGCACTGCAAAAGAAGAAGGAAAACTTGAAACAAACCCTTTAAAAACCCGTCTGGCCAGCGTGGTATAGTAGGCCAAAACCTTCTGTCTAAGGAGAGGCCTATATCCAGCGCTGGACTATTAAAGGCTGTTGAAGATGGTGACGATGAATACGCCTTTGTCTACCCCTTCGGAGATAAAGGCGTGCGTATATATAACTACGTATAGAAGTGACACTTCGAAGAGTCACTGATACTGAATTTAAAAACTAGCATTTAAGTAGGTACTTAGGTTATTATAAATTGAGCGGAACGCCTACAATATGTTAGAACAGTTTGGCGAATCGAGAACTTGTAAACAAATGTAAATAAAGTGTGACTAAAGTTATAAAAAAAAAAAAAAAAGATACGTGGATCCATTTTATTTCATTCCATTTGACATATAAATGTACGTTTCAAATTCGTTATTTCAATTCAACTTTCAAATTCTATTATTAAAACATGTGTGTTATGGTTCCTGAAGATGTTTTGGTGCTCGAAAATCACTTCTGAATAGAAAAGGCAGTCTTTTCTATAATATAGGGGCCCAATGAATAGAAGGATCACCGGTAAGTAACAAACGCTGCCTATGAATACTTGTAACTCAAGAGTGCGGCCGGCCTTCGGCCTTGACAATATTTCTCAGTAGGGGCCTCCATCAAAATCTCACTTACTCTGTGAAATGCAAGGAACTAATTGCTTAACACAAGTTTTCTGTGAGGCCGTGGTATCAGTCGGGTCGAGCTGGTAAACATGTGCTGAAGCATAATGCTCCTGCCTTGAATCACTCACCTTTGATACAGGGATTTTCCTTCAAGAAGTCGTTCTTCAACTGGTTCAGCCTGTCACCGATCTGTTCTTCCAAAGGACCTTCGATTGCTTGAAACACTGATGCGCCTGTCGAATAAAACATAAAAATATTAACTTAAAATGATAGTGTTAGGAATGTCATGAAATTTTTAATTATCGAAGAACTGTGTGTTTTAGTTTTTAGTATTATTTAAGGTATGTTCTAAACGAGAGACAATCCGCAACGTACTTTTTTACGGATTAAAAGTACCGCGTGCGAAAAGTCCCCCGGACAACCAAGGACATCAATAGTCCGGACTGGATAAAATACGGTACGGTACGGGGGAGTCCCGGAAATTTTAACTAATGTGACGCTTGACGCAGCAAGGTACAGTACACATACAACGAACTTTAGTCCGGCATGAGAGATCGAGAGTGACGTATGTGTGGCATCCAAATTATCGCATACCGTGTGACATTTAATTTACGATTCAGTGATTTTTGCCCTTTGCAGACAAAAATCCTTCGTCTGCGGAGGCCCTTAATAATGCCAGGTATATAGACTACCTGAGGAAGGTATCTGGGGATCATCATATTATTCACCCAAATCATGTTGGGGAAGCCTAGGTTCACCAGTGTACTGCAAAATGATATCTTCCTTCTACTGACATTTAGTCTTTATTACTTCTGGATTAAGTATCTTAAAATAATGGTGAACAAAAAAATTGCTTCAGAATTTCAGAGTTTTTGGAACAATATGACCAATAGTATATATATAAACCTTCAAGAAAAAAACGTATTTCCAACTAAAACTGAGTTCTTCACAGGCCGTTGAAAATCAACTCAGGAGCCACAAGCGCTGATCCCCTATATCGTACCAAAAACCTACTTTTGCTGTCTTAAATAATCATTTTATAAAAACTCAGAAATGCCTTTTTCATGGTTAAGGGCGAACGATCAGACGGGTCACCTGATGGTAAGTGACTACCGCCGCCCATAGAGGCCTGCAACTCAAGAAACAGATAATATGCATTTCTAGCTTATGAGTGCCTCATTAGAATTATGCGGGTAGAGGGCTCTTTCACTCGCTGAAAGCGGCTTTGGGTTAATTTTAGTTGAGCCAGTTTGGTTAAAATTCGATGTACATTACATAAATTATGTTTATGTGTTTTTGGAACGAAGTTCCCTATCGCGCGTTGTGAAAGGGGGCTAGACGGAAAAAAATCTTACGAAAATTGGTCACGACACTTTTTGCTATAGTAAGCTATTGTAAGCTGTGGGGCGTCGCATGTTTCTCTGTCTGTCTCTCTCTCTCTTATAGAAAGCAAGCCAGGTATTTTCATTTCTATCTTTTTATGTCAGTCATTCAGCGCCATCTATCGAATAGATAGGAAATCATTTCTCAAGGAGATTTTACCAATGTATAAATTGTTTTAATTAGAAACCAACTGAAAAATATGTAGGTAATAGCCGCTTTCATAGATGGCGTTGTAATTAAAATGTGCCGAATCAGTTTTACTCGATCGTTACAACTTCGTTCCTATCGGGTGTCCCACGACACCACACGGCTTTTGACTAATAAATGTAAAAGGACTTGACATGTTTTATTTCATTACATTAGGAATATTGATAGGAAATAATGCTTATTAAATCATGGTTTAATAAGCATTATTTCCTAAACATTTAGTTTGAAGTCGGCGGGTTTTTATTTCATTACAGAGAAATTCCCTTATCACAAAAACGTATACGATAATGTGTATGTATACATATATATTGGCAAATGAAAGCAAGCTGATGTAAATTCTGTGTGAAATTCTTGGATGTTGGAGAACATTTAAGTGATATTAAATTCGCTCGTCGAGTAACTCAATAATTTGATTTGGTTCTTTAAAATGAAAAAAGGAATCTTTATAGGATGACTTGGTTGTCCGTCAGTCTGTCTGTCGGCTAATACTCTTTGCATTTAATAATAAGTCATACCCTTTTACTGACTAACATGGGTATACACCAAGTAGAAATTTACATCAAGTCTTCCGTCTTCTTTATAATATTTGCTTTTCAACGAACAAGTGAGGTTGCCAGTATTAAAAAAAAACTCTAGTTGCTTTTCACTGAACACCGAATGAATGAAGTGGCGGAGCCTAATCAACTACCCCTCCCCCCCACCTCTCCCTGATTCTGGGGGGGGGGACTCAAAGGAGGACAACGCACTTGTGACTCAAATTTATAGTTGTCCATGGACGGGCGTATTCACATACCTTCGTTTAACCCGTCTGCTTACCTTTTTTTTTTTTGTTGACGGGGTGGAAAATCCCTTCGGATCTCCTGCTCCTCGGGGACTCAGGAGCCAGGAGTATGTGGTGATTCCACTAAAAACCACCCCGGCCTTAGGTGTCCTACTCTGGGGAGGACCCGGACCATGTTATTTCAGGTCCTCCCCGAATTGACACCATGCCTATTCAGTCCCTATCCCAGGGGAGAACACTTCCCCCTTCAATCGCGGCATGGCGGCCCGATCGCATCTTAATGCATCCCCTACCGCAGCAATCAATCTGCCACCAGAGGTCACCAACCCTTCTGCTTACCTATATATTATGTTAGACGCACGCAAGCATACTTAAGAAAATGTTGAAAATTCTGAGAAAATGGAGCTTGACAAGTGTATTTAGGTTAAGTGGTCCTCAAGCAAGTTGTTCAGTGTAGGTGTTGCTACGTCATAGATTTGTCACGAATTCCAAATGTAAAATGTTCAAACTCATTGAAATTAAAAACCAAGTTTATAAAGAAAAGACTTGTAAAGAAATATTGTATGCTCAATAATATAAATGTAAACAGATTTTATTTGTATCATGCATTGAATCGAATAAAATAAGATTAAATATTGTTGAATTATTTATTTTTGCGATATCAATTTTTCTTTAAGAAATTTTAGCTCTATTATCTTCGGGTTGAGCATTCAAAACTCCTAAAACATGCCGTTGTGAACAACATTGCCACGGGCTTCTCATTATTTCTGAAGTGTCGTACTTCTTCCCCTAGACCCAACTTACCAAGAAATTGCTAAAAATGGCGTTATACCTGCGTATAAGTATAGCTATGATTGATGGGAGCACCAGACTCAGGGGCTGTAAAGTCTATGTTTATTCACGACAATGATTCCGTGTTTATGGTTTAACGTATTTGGAACCATCCTGTGTGAAACTATTAATGTGCTGGATATCCTTATTCTTATGTTTTTTATGATTCTAGCAAATTCTAGATCTATTTTCGTAATGTTATTTTTTTATTTGTAATGTAGTGAGTTGCTATTATTATAAACAGTTGTGAGTGATTTGTGTGATTTGCCTATCTGTCTCAAAGATTGTTGTTCTGAGTCTGGGTGTTCTTTGTGTCCGTTTCATGAATGTTTGTAAAGTGCACCACGACACAAGATATGGTCCTAGTGCGGTAGTTATCTTTTTTTATAAAAAGAAAGGGAAGGAAACAGAAAGAATTTATTTTGTTTATGCGTATCCGTATTAATCGATATCCGGATCATGTTGATCCAGATATATTTAGTCAAAAGATATAAAGAAGACTGCATCGGTGGTGCAGCGGTAGCGTATAAGTATTTTTTTTGGAGTTTCGATGTTTTCTATGGTTAATTATGTACGTATTAAAAAGAAAAATTAAACATGTAACTATTCTATCAGTCAATCTAGCTTTCATGGTACAAGCTCTGCTGAGTGTGAAACTAGATGGCGTTGTGCGTCAGATGTCCAAAAATATTATTATTAACAAAAAGTAACTTACCCATGACCAAATACAGTGTCATGACACATGCAAGCACGAAGATTCGGAGCGCGGGGATGTTCCGCGCGTCGACAATACACCCAGGCATTACCAGACGCATGATGCCGGTTCTACCTGTTGGCAAGAGGTTACAAAATGTTATATACAGTTTGCTATCATCGTGGTGAATAAACTGTATTCTTGATTCCTTAATTTTCACTTTTAGGGTGCTTTGCCACTTTTTATGCTATGTCACGTTGCTATGGATGCGTTGAATATCTACCAATCATATTCATTGGTATATTTAGCTCAGCACTGGTGGAAACAGGTTCAAATGAACTATGGTTTTATGTGAATTGATGCATGCTCTGGATGGTCATTATTAAATAGCTCAAGATGTGTATTTTCTTACATCTTCATAGTACTTACTCGCCTCGTACTTTAGACGACCGGATGGCGTAGTGGTTGCTGTAACGGACTGCTATTCTTAAGGTCGCGGGTTCGATTCCCGCTCAAGTCAAACATTTGTGTGCATGAATTTTTAATGTTTGATTTGGGCTGGGTGTTTCTAAAAAAGTATATATGTATTTATATCAGTTGTCTAATACCCATAGTACAAGCTCTGCTTAGTTTGGGACTAGATGGCGTTGTGTGAATGTGGTAGAATATTATTATTATATCATCTGTGGAAACGGTCACACAGTTTCGTAGCTTAGCTTTCACAACCTTACAGCATAGCTCTGGCAGAAAAGCACCGTTAGCAGCAAGGGACCAAACAGTAATACCCTATCAATAAAAAAATATATCGAAAAAATTATAAGACGACCCTTTGTACTCTTGTTTTAATAATATGATGTGGCGACTCCCACATACAAAGAAACAGAAACATACTACAGCGCCATCTATTGAAGACACACCGAAATACGGAGTAACTACTAAAAATAAGAATTGATAATCCTGTATCGCGATATAAAGAATTCCCTCGCCGATTAGCATATATACAACTTCCCAACATCAACCGTTGGGCCGCGGCCCGCCAGGCATGATCACCTCGCCTGGTCGGAGGATCCTCCCTTTGTGTTGGAGGGACATGACACCCGTTCCTCCACAATGTTTCCGTGCGTATTATTGTTACTATTGATGTACAATAGCGAATTATATATCTGTCTATCTAAAGAATGATCCAAATGAATGAATTGAGAACTTCTACGGTTAAATGCTGCAAAAATGTTTGTTGTACCGAATAATTTCATTTCAAACAACTCACATGTTTATGAGCCGTGACCGAAATGAAGAATCTGTGTATTTCAAAAGAATTTAGCGTCAGAGAATTATTCGTGGAACTTAAAATTGTTCGGTAAATAAACTAGGTCTTTCTCAATGTTTTATTTATCTTTTTTTTCTTTTAGTTATAATTAAAGGAAAGTCTTATTATTAGGAATAGGTTTATTAAAACCAAAGTTAGACCAAAGGCTCACATTTCAAAATCATCAAGTTTTTAGAAACGAGGTTTTGACCTACTACGACGGGTTGGTATAGGGTTTGTTTCAAGTTTTCCTTCTCTCTGCAGTGCTGTTGTCCTGCGTAATTTGTTCCCTTAGTCGGTTTAAGACTTACGACACGCACGGGATGAATAGGGGTGCTCTTATTGCTCTTACGCCGATAAAATCGGGCATCGTGAGAGTCAGCACAAATGGGGCGGCTCGACCGGAGTGACACCACGGCCTCACAGAGAACCGGTGTCAAATTATTTTTACGTAGCTATTCTCCGAGTGAGTGAGGTTACCGGAGACCAAACCTGCCCTCTCCCACTCACTTATGACTCCTGAGTTACATGTGTCCATGGGCGGCGGTATTCACTTACCATCATTAGACCCCAGGTTCTAGGTCACTTACCATCATTAGACCCCAGGTTCTCAGTCACTTACCATCATTAGACCCCAGGTTCTCGTTGCTCGTTTGCCCCCTTATACCATAAACTATACCGTATTCTGTATTTGTTCCTGGGTCATTGGTTTGGGGTCAAATCGACCTCATATACAATATATTTTTAATTCAAATTATTTTATAATTTATTATTATTTATTATTTTAAAAAAGACAACTCCCGGATTAGGAAAATATCCTGTGTCGCGGGGGACTTTACAAACATACATGAAACGGACACAAATAACACCCAGACTTGGAACAACAATTTGTGGATCACACAAAGTGTCGTCCCATGTGGGGTTTGAACCCACAACACTCGGCGGAGTAGGAAGCGGCGTGGCGATCGCTTAAACCACTACGCCATCCGTGCAGCAATATTCCTTTATAGTGTGTTGAAATAAATGATTTTATTCAAATCCTAAGTTACTCCTTATATAGACAGCTACCTGGTAGTAAAATACTATCAAAATCGGTCTAGCCGTTTTGAAGATTACCCGGAACAAACAGTCATCATCATCATCTTCAACTGCCTATAACAGTCCACTGCCGGACATAGGCCTCTCCTTAGAAAGGAGGTTTGTTTGTTATAGGGTTTGTATCAAGTTTTGTTGTAAACTACGCAAGACAACAAACAATCAGACAGTTAAAAATATATAAACTGGTTTTTAGGGATAGGTATCGTATAGGTAGGTGACAATAACAATTGACAATACAAAGAGATACTTCAGTTTTATTTGTTTGTATAGAAAATGTCATATTTAAATTTGATCAGAAATGAACTCTTTCTTAAACGTATTTGTAAGTACTTGAAATTAATGAGTAGTCTCTTGTAAAATTCATTTCAAAAGTACTCCTTGACTCCTACGCAGAAGATATAAAATTAGATTTAAGAGAGGTGTAGGACGTACTTGTGTCGTCAAAGTTATTGATAAATAATACACTTTAATATCATTTTATACAGTGCTTTCTAGACTGATTACATCAACCTTCGCTCTAGAACACGAATGTAAATACCAATGTAAATGCTGTCAAAGACAACTCCCGCATTAGGAATATAACCTGTGTCGGGGGGCACTTTACAAACATACATGAAACGGACACAAAGAACACCCAAACTCAGAATAACAATTTGTGGATCACACAAAGTGTCGTGAGCTTTCCGTCCGTCGTAGTGGCAAGCGGCGTGACGACCGCTTAAACGACTACGCCACCCTTGTTTATAAATTGTAGCACAGGGATCACAACACACAATAGGATCACACAAAGTGTCGTCCCATGTGGGGATCGAACCCACAACACTCAGCGTAGTAGTAAGTGGCGTGGAGACCGCTTAAACAACTACGCCATCCGTGCAGTCAATATATTAATGTTTTTTTGAGCACTGTCCTACTGCAATTTTCTCGACTGCTATAATTTTAGTCCCACTTCTGTTATTACGAGCTTTGCGTTACTACGAGATTCCCAATAATACCAATTTAATACATACAGCAAAAAACACTACATCATTTTTTATCTTTAAAGCACATATTGTCAAAAAAAAATTAAGTTTCTTGCACTTCCACATATAAATATTAAGTATTCCAAATATGATCTTAATCTGAGGCATTCTTTCAAACTAGGTTGGAGTCTTCTTTAAGTCTGATACGACACGGGTGAACTTCGATGTTTTACGCGGAGCGTCTGCCATCAGAGCTCAATCCAAATACTTGGCGATATCGAGGAAAGACTGTTGTCGGCCTTTTTAGAGCTCCAACTAACTATAGCGATTGCAGCAGATGTTCGTATGGCAACCGGGACCGACGACGACTTAACGTGCTCTCTGATTCCAAAAATGATATAATATTATCGTTTAAAATTTCTTTGGATCTCACAAAGGGGTTATGCTAATGTGAGTTTATTTGTTTATTCGTTTCGTACATTATCACGACTCAATTACGCAACTGATCTTCGTGTTTTATATACGTTGTTAGAGGTACAAAAAATCACATAAAATACTCGTATCAATCCGAAAAAAGTTTTGTTCTCAAGGGACACAAAAATAAATAATAGACGCGGGTAAACTCCGGCAATAAATAAAATATACATTTTCAATACTTCAGCGAAAAAGTTATTTGAACATTCGAGAAATAGACATTAATAACACTACAAATACGATCGGGTAACAGCGGGTGGTATTCTTTGACAGGAGCCCGCGCTTTACAGCATTCATGGCCGACATAAATATTCTAAACAATAAAGAAGGCCTAATGATAACAACGTTTAAGTATTGTATGAGATTAGTATATGTCCGTCCAAAATATTTTTGATATGACAGCGATAACATAGTTTTATTTTGCTTATCCTGTTCATCCCGTGGGTAACGTAAGAGCCGACTGAGGGAGCAACTAGACAGGACAATACCACTGCAAAGAGAAGGAAAACTTGAAACAAACCCATAGGCCAGCGTGGTATAGCAGGCCAAAACCTCCTTTCTAAGGAGAAGCCTATGTTCAACAGTGGACTATTAAAGGCTGTTGATGATGATAATGAAATATTATACCACCTTCAACACCTAAAACATGTCCAGACCTATTTTTCCACACATTTACACACATTTTAACACAGTATATACATGTTTTTTTCTTATGGTATAAGAGGTCAAATGAGGAGACGGAGAGTAACCACCATCGCCCATGAACATTTGTAACACAAGAGTCACAAGTGGGTAGCCTCCCTTTGAGTCCTGTCTCCAGGGTAAGGAAGACGAGGAGTTTCGGCTCTGGTTACCTCACTCATTCGGTGAAAAGCAGCAAAATAATTGCCAAATACCGATTTTCTGTGAGGCCGTGGTATCACAGAAAACCGGTGTTAAATGAAAACCGGTAAATTTCGAGAAAGTACCTACTCTATTTAGTATGTCTAGTACATTTCCATTTCGTATGTATGCTTTATTTCCAATTTTTAACTTGAAATCATCTATTCGCCTTTAGACAATTTTCTTACTCTTATTTAAAAAGTAAGCATAAAATACAGCCTTCCATCATATTTCGAATCCATTAAAACTTGTGGCGTATGCTTCCCGCCAAATTGCATTGAAAAAGGCGATGGTGGAATATCTATGCAGATTGTAACTGACGTGACATAGTTGAGGCAACCGATCAGAAAACGCAGGCGCGATGACCTGAATGCCTGGATAAAAGACTGATGAATACTG